ATATATATATATATACATACATATACATATGCACACGTACATACATAGTCACACGCACACACTCATATACATACACCTACTTCTCTCTTATTGACTATCTTGTTATCTGACACTTCACATTTATGGCAACAGGAAAATAAATCGGATTTTCTGCCTTAATGAGGAACTGAGATGCAATGGGAGGAGGAGGGGATGGTTTGCCAGAGAGAGACAGGCCGCTGACTGTTCCTAATACCCAGGAAGAAGGAACCCGGGAAGGCCTGTGATGAATTTGGAGCAGCCACACGATAGAAAGGGGGCTTGGAAGTTTGTTCTCCCAAAGAGGCTTCACTGCCACCTCCACCACCTCTGCTGGGTACAGGTGGCTAGGCCTCACCTGTCTACAGGCCCAGGAGCTCTTTGCTGCCAAGGTCTATTTCTGGGGCTGGTGAAGTGAAAAAGTGAAGATGCGTGGTGTGGGGTCCATGTAAAGGCCTGGAACATGGCCAGGTGATGGTGGGCCCTTGCTGTTCCACAGGTGATGGGCAACCCCAACCACTACCACCTCTAACCCTGGAGGCTCTGTGGTGGTATGGGAGGCAGTATGGGGAAGGGGTCTCCTGCACCACATGCATCCTAAGACACACTGAAGGCACTGAAGGCACCCAACAGGTGGTGAACGCCTGGGGGAACACCAGCACTGAAGAACGGACATGACTTCAACTCTCGTACAGTGAACATTTTCACATAATGACCTGGTCTTTGGAACATAGCTTTGTTGTGAGTGAGAAGTGGGTGTACTACGTATACATGTGTGTGTATCTTGGTTGGTTGGTTATGTAACGTGGAGTTGTTTCTGACTTATAGCAACCCTGTACAGAGTTTCCGAGGCTATAAATCTTTACGGGAGCAGAATGCATCATCTTTCTCCCGCAGAACAGCTGGTAGTTTCGAACGGCTGACCTTGCGGTTCAGCCCGATTCGTAACCACTACGCTACCAGAGCTCCTTATGTAACTTGTTTTTAAATGTGACTATAATATTAGCAATTGAATGCAAAATATTCATTTTAGCCAAATGAGATGAACTGGATTACAAAATTTTTAGGTACTAAGATTTTTATTATTTTCTACAAAAAGAATATTCCATGTATTTTATAACAGAAAATAAGTCAGTGAACTTGTTTCAACAATCAATGTAAAACTCTGCTGATGTCTCACAATGAAAATTTGTTTTTAACAGCTCACACTTCAATTTTGATATTGGTTTCATAAGAAATGCTATAATTATAAATGCACTCATGAAGAGCTGTCATAAAAGAAAACATAAGATCACAAAACAACATAAGATCACAAAACAAACATTGCAACAAATTACTATATTTTCTCTTTAGATGTATCTTTCATTTCTATTGCTATAATTAGAAATAATTTTCTATTCATTACTATTACAAATCCTTCAATAATTTCATTACAATTAAACTGCCATACACTATCTCTTCCAGATATAACATGGATAATGAATCAAGTCTTCCTTAAAAGCACTGTTGCACACTGAGTCTCATCAGGGATGAAAACAGCTGTTCTGTTGTGCTGTTTGTGATCATTAAAGTTAAGAATATGGATAAAGCAATTTGAATATTGGTATTTCTATTATGTATTTCTATTATGGAATCATACATGCCTACATAAGTAAAATCTGTCTTTCCTGAATCTGTAAGCTTAATTCTCATGTAAGAATGAAATGATAACAGTTCTCAAAAGGTCTGTATTTAAGTCATCGGAATAAACCTGTACTGATTTCTGAAATGCCTCCATCCATTCTTTACCAGGAATATCCACAATGTTTAAAAAGGAAAATCGATTTGAATGAGCATTATACATTTTAATCCTTCTTTTCATGAAAGTTTCACGGGTCAGTGATAGTGTAGTATGTTGTTACACAAAACTGATCTCTGGCACTCAGTGATACTTCTGAAGCACTTTGATGACGCACTTGTTTTTTCCTAATGATGGTGAAGACGGTGACGTGGTTTCACTCAATGCCCTGCCAGTGTCCTCCCACTGCAGTGTTGGCTTTTCCTGGTGACCTATCGGCTTTGTATGTATGGATCTCTGTTTTGGGCAACTCGTGCCCATTTTGTTGATGCCCTAAGCACATGTTTACCTTGCTTATTAGATAATTCGTTCTTGAGTTTGGGCTAGCGAATATGTGACGTGGACATAATCACCCTCCCTGCCACCCAACCCAACTGCCCATTCTCACTCTACCTGCTTTAATGATTAAAATGCTTTCCTGGCAAAACTCTCCATTGTCACAAGTCTCAGCTTTCTCTGAGGTCCAGTTATATGACGTGATTGCATTCTCTTCCACAGTAATGCTTATGCTCTTGTGACAAAGCAAATTTTGGGCCGCTGGGAAGAAAACAAGTTAAAGATTAGCATTTATCCTTCTCTGTGGGGGCCGAGTCACTTCCTTTTCATCATATACTCCCCTCCCCACCCCATGACCCAGTTGCTTTCCTCCCACCTTCTTCATACATACAGGTTATGGAAGAGATTCCTAAAAGAAAGAGGAACATCAAACAGTGGATATGACAGCTTCCCATGGCTTCTTTAGAGAGGTCGGGAGAAGCTGGTTAGGATCTGCGTTTTGAAGGAGAAGAAGACATTTTTAAGGCAACAGAATGATATTAAATCTATCCTCTGGCAAGTATCGGCTTTAGGGGCGAGTTTATTGTGTTTGAAGACCCTGGGTGGAAATGGTTAATGTGCCCAGATACTAACCAAAAGGTTGAGTCCACCCAGAGGCACTTTGGAAGAAAGATCCAATGACCTATTTAAAAAAAAACACCACACACACACACAAAAAACATCAGCCATTGAAACCTTTCGGAGCATAATTCAACTCTGACATACATGGCAGCACCATGTTATTGAATCACTAATTTAACAGCCATTGGATCGATTCCAACTCACAGTGACCATATAGGACAGAGCCGAACGGCTCCATAGGGCTTCTGAGGCTGTAAATCTTTAAAGGAGCAGACAGCCTCATCGTCCCCCCACGGAGTAACCGGTGGGTTTGAACCATCAACTTTGAGGTCGGCAGCCCAGTGCCTACCCACTATGGCACTGTAAGTTGGAGATTGTGCAACGGCAGCTAATTTGGTTTAGGTTTGATTGATTTTTAAGATCAGTCTTGTGACTTTGATTTTATTGATTTTTAAGGTCAGTCTTGTGATTTTGGGCAAGTTAAGAAGTTGATTGTATCTCAGCTTCCATCTTTGTCATTCTTAGACCCAGGAGCCTGGGCACCCAGCTACTTATTTCCTTAGGATCAAGGAGTCCAGCAACCCAATCTCAGGACCCAGGAATCGGGGCCCAAAGGGACCTCCTCTCCTTCAGCCTCAGGAGTCCAGGTTCAAACCTAATTCCCTCAAGATCTTGGTATCTCAGCCCACAGTTCCCATCCCCATTGGACTCCAGGATTCAGATCCCAGCTCGGTCCATCTAGAGATCCAGGGATTTGTGTCTCAGCCACTGTTCGCCAAAGGACGCGTGATTCTGGGCCCCAGCCCCAAATCACTCAAACCCCAAAGCCCAGGACCCCAGACTCCTCAGACCTAAAGTCTGGACTCCCGTCACCTGCTCCTTAGACCCAAGAGTCCATATCCCCAGGCTCTCCTCCGTGGGGTCCAGGATTTCCAATCCCTTCAGCGCTTCCTCCCCCTCCCCCCATCCCTCAGACCTAGGAACCCCGCCTCCCCACACCTGCCTTTTCCTTCAGACCCAGGAGTTCAGGCGCCTAGTCCCCTCCTCCCTCAGACCCAGAAGACCCAGTTGTGTCCCCAAGCCTCTCTTTCTCTTTATGAGACCAAAATTCCTCCTGGCTTCCAGAAGAACTGACCAAAAGAATCGTAGCCAAGAACGAACCCAGAACGAACACTCGCTCTGGAAATCCAATCTTCCCTGAAAGTGCTGTGGAAGCACGGAAGGCGGGGCCAACCTCCTTAGCTTAACTGGCTCCTCGAAGCCCCATTGGTCAAGGCGAAGCATGGCGTGAACTCATTGGATGAGCCTGGAACGTTAAACCCCATTGGCTCGAGAGAAGCATCACGCACGGCCTTGGAAAGCGCGCATGCGCAGAATGGCAGCAGTTGGCCAGCTGGAAGGAAAGGGTACTTGCGTTTGCAATGCAGAGCAGGCTTCCCCCACAAAAGACTTCATCCTTTTCTCTGGTTGAACTATGGGCTTCCGCTTTTCCAGCTACACTAGGAAATCAAATTTATCTCCCTCTACAAATGTGTGCCCAGCCTGTCCCACCACCTGTCCCAGCACCATCCAGTGGCTCCAACCCACCCAGTGGAAAAGTCAACTTGTTCTAATTAGGTTTTACTTGCAGTGGTCCAGGCCTCATCCTCTGGCAGTATCATCCCACTAGCCTCCTCCATGATCTCTTCTTGTTGTGCGTCCTCGACTCATAGAGACTCTATATAGGGTTTTCAGAGCTGTTGGTGGTGGGTTTGAGCTGCAGACCTTGCGGTGAGCTCAATTAGCAGTTCAGTGATTATTCTACAGCGCCACACCAGGGCTCCTTGAAAACTGAATGTATGAATGTCCACTTCAGCTCACTCTCAAATATAGTAATAAGCAGGTTGCAACCACATTTAACCAGCAGGTCTGTGTCAGGACTATGAACAAGACATGCCATTCAGATTTGTTGTTCATGGCTAAAAATTCAAATACATGAAACCTTTCCAGAGGGAAACAAAATAAAGATCACTTCTGTGTACTTTTAGAATTAGGATTGTTTCTGTGAATTAAGGCACAAATGAATAACTTTATTTTAAAGAAGTGACAACTACAAATGTTAGTGTTTTCATTTAATACTTACAATGGAAACAAAATGTCCACATAATTAAAAATGAGTATTACTTAATTTAATACATTAGAAATACTTTTTGTTTTTAAACTTTTTATTGTGAAGTGGGTGAAGGTGTACAGAGCAAATCAGTTTTCCATTCAACAATTCATGCACTTTGTTTCCTGGCATGTAATTCCTGGTAATCCCCACAATGTTTACATTTTAGATGACCTAGAGTATTATACTGTTGTGTGGAAGAGCAAAGATGTCAGCTTGAGGACTAAGGTGCGCCTGACCCAAGCCATGGTATTTTCAATAACCTCATATGGATGAGAAAGCTGGACAGTGAATAAGGAAGACCGTAGAAGAATTGATGCCTTTGAATTGTGGTGTTGGAGGAGAATACTAAAGTGCCATGGACTGCCAAAAGAACCAATAGATCTGTTTTGGAAGAAGTGCAGCCAGAGTGCTCCTTGGAGGCCAAGATGGCTAAGCTTCATCTCTCATAATTTGGACATGTTGTCAGGAGGGAACAATCGCTGGAGAAGGATGTCATGCTGGGTAAGATGGAGGGTCAGAGACAAAGAGGAAAACCCCCAAAGAGATGGATCGGCCAGGTGGCCTCAAGTGTGGCATCAAGTGTGGCAGCGGTAGTGAAGTTGGCCCAGGATTGGACATTGTTTCATTCTGCTGTGCATGGGATCGCTATGAGTCAGTTCTGACTTGATGGCACCTGACAACAACAACAACAAAGTATTATAGTAAGGAGCTCTGGTAGTGTAGTGGTTACGAATTGGGCTACTAACCTCAAGGTCAGCAGTTCAAAACTACCAGCTGTTCCGTGGGAGAAAGATGAGGCTTTCTGCTCCCGTAAAGATTTACAGCCTCGGAAACCCTGTACAGGGTCACTATGAGTCGGAACCGACTCCACGGTACTTAACAACAACAACAACAAAAGTATTATAGTGCGTCGCTGTGGGTTAATGCACCAGACTGCAACATCTTCATGTGTACACCATTCTCATCTTCCTGTTCTGAGTTCTTTCTCCCCCATGAACAAAAACTCACCGCCCCATAAGGTTCCTATTGACACTTCTGATCCCATATTGATAGATTCTCAGAGAGCACAATGCTCAAAGCCAACTTTCTTCACTAGTTAAGCGGAACTATTTGATTTTAAGAAGACTTCAAGGATTATTTTTGGTTTAAGATTTAAAGACCATCCCAGGGTAATAGTTTCTGGGACATAGAGGTTTTGTTGTTGTTAAATGCTGTCAAGTTGATTCTGACCCATAACGGCCCTGTATAGAGTTTCTGAGGAGTGGCTGGTGAATTTGAACTGTAATCTCGTGGCTCAAACCAACTTTGCAGTCCAGTGCATTCACCCACAGCGCCACACCAGGACTCCATAGAGGATTACATTACATGAAGAGGACTTCAAAAAATGTTTGTGAAAAACTGGAATGAAAAATAATGGAATTTTTTCCAAGAGCTTTTTGAAGTCCCCTAGTAAGATGTTGCAGTTTATTGCTATTGAATTGGCCCCCCAAAAGAAGGTCTGGGTTTTGGTAGATTGCCGGGTCTTTCTTCCTACTTCTTCTCAGTCTGGAAGCTCCGCTGAAACCTGTTCAGCATAAGATCAAAACACAGGCCTACGTTGACTGACGAGTGCTGGCTGAGCGTGAGGTGCACTGGCTGGGAATCAAACCCAGATCTCCCACATGGAAGGCAAGAATGCTGCCACCAAGCCCCCACTGACCACACAGAACCCAGGAGGTGCTTAGGTGATATAAGTGGCTCAAAGGCAATCACAGAAAAGGTGGAGCTGATTGCCCTGAAAGGAAGGGCACCCTAGAGCTCCCTGAGAATAGCACCCAGGGGCAGGTAAGGGCAAAAGGAAGGCTACCTAAGGCTTCAGAGTCTCCCTGGGCCTGTGTTTGAGAAGATCAGACCTCAGTATAGAGGGAGGCGGGGAAGAAGTGTGGGTGTCTAGTTTCTGCATGCCAACAATGTGTCTGTGGTCCTTAACTCCATGTCCTCCCCAGTCTGTCTTCTCTTGAGAACATGGAGCTTATCCCTTGGGGTCATCTCCAGGTGGCCCCTTTGTTCTTTTCTGGCCCTGATTATTGACTTGATTCCAAGGATTCTTCTGAACACTACTAAGTCTTTATTTTCAGGCCTGTCCACAGTGTACCAGTCCTAACGCAGGCTCCACATCCCCTGTCCTTAGTCCCCTAGCGTTGTTGTGTGTCACGAAGGCAATTTCGACTTGTAGCAACATGGGGCAGAGCAGAACTAAGTGCCCCGTGGAATTTTCTAGACTGTTGTCATCTTTACAGGAGCAGAGCGCCAGGGTTTTTCTCCTGCAGAGCCTCTGGGTGAGTTTGAACCACTGATGGTTCAGACTCATAGTTAGTGCTTAATCACTGCACCACCAAAGCTCCTAGTGCTCTAGCTGTTGTTGTTGTGAAGAATGAAGACGTGCCCTACCTAACTAACACTAACTTTTAGCTTTTTGCCCCTTCCCTGACAATCTCTCTCTCTCTCTCTCAATGATTTGGGGTTAAGCACTCAACCATAAGGTAGGTTTGAACCGCAAGGTTGGTGATTCAAAGTCACCTAAGCACCTCCTGGGTTCTGTGTGGTCAGTGGGGGCTTGGTGGCAGCATTCTTGCCTTCCATGTGGGAGATATGGGTTTGAGTCCCAGCCAGAGCACCTCACGCTCAGCCAGCACTCATCAGTCAACATAGGTCTCAGTGGAGCTTCCACACTGAGAAGAAGTAGGAAGAAAGACCTGGCAATCAGCTACCAAAAGCCAGTCCTGGTGTGATGCTGTGGGTTACTACGCTGGACTGCAAAGTTGGTTTGAGCTGCAA